AGCCCCACTGATACTTAATTTCTCACAAATGAAAGCCTGTAATAGGCAAAACAGAGTGGATGCCAATGATGTAAGAGCAGCCTTAATCTGACAGGTCAAACCTCTTGGAGTATAGCTGCCATGCACATCCCTTCTCATGTAGCTCTGGTTCTTGGATGACTGTTCTACACTGTCTTTCATCACTAGAAAATATGGTCTGATGTACAAGCCGCAAAGTATTGACCTAAATCCCTTGAAATAATGACTTGTTTCAGCACTTGAATTTTTTATAACACTGTAAAAGATCTTAAAAAAAATTATACTGCTCTTCTGAAAAGCCCCATTATTTATCAACCCTAGAGACTGGGGAATATATTATAAACAAATACCAGCTTAAACAAGTCCTTTCTGACACTTTTCGCACAATACCACTTAACCCAGCTACTCTCCCTCAGCTAACAACTTCTTTTCTCAAAGTCTGCACAGAAATCCTACCAGGATGGTTAATATTTAATGGTCTATCAAAGTTTGACTTTTTTTCTGTAGCCCAATTGAGTGACTAAGGGGTTAAATGAAAACTACAGCTCTGTTGTCTCTCTGCACCAGCATGATCATTCTTCAGGGATTCCCTTTTGCATGAGTCACTGATAGAACAGACAGACTGCACACAAGGAGGCCAAGATAATGTCATTTCTCAAGAGATTACGAGTGGTAAGGACTGGCCCTTGAAGACGAGAGCGAGCGAGCGAGAGAGAGAGAGAGCAAGTGAGAGAGAGAGAGAGAGAGAGAGAGAGAGAGAGAGAGAGAGAGAGAGAGAGAGAGAGAGAGAGAGAAGGGAAGAAAAAGAGGAAGAGAGACACACACCGAGACACACACAGAAAGACAGACAGACCAAGACATAAACAGATAGAGACAGAGAGACAGAGAGAGAAAGCACAAGCCTTCTATTAGGAAAAAGCTTAAAGGAAATTAGAGTATGCTCAGCATAGAGGTGCTTTAAAAATGAAATGAATCTCTGTGAACAACACATGTACAAATGTAAAAAACACAGGAGGCACCCTGAATTATATTAAGTCTCATCTGAAGTTGTTTTCCCAAGTGTGATACAGAAAAGAAAAATAAGAATGATAGCAAGTGTAGTTCTATGATACGGTCCATAGTTTTTTGGTTTGTTTTTTTTTTTTTTAACATTTTTGGCATTTATAATTGCTCTAATCTTACACAATTAGTGGCTGCCCTTAGAGTCTGAGGTTGGAGGAGTAAGGAAGAATCTTCATGGCTAGGCCAATATGAATTGCCTAAATTAACTAATCTAAACTTTGCAGAAGGCTACTTCACACTGGACTCCAATTCCTATCCTGGTTATACTTGTAAGTGTTGTTTTAAAACACACACACACACACACATACACACACACATGTCACACGTCACACATGACCAGGGCAGAGAAAAAAGCCAGATGATCTCATAGAAAGCCTAAGGGGTAGCTGGTACTATAGTGTTTTGAATTTAAATCAATTTAAGTGGTTTTTCTGAAAAAGAACTAGAAAAGAAAAACGTTTCATAAGTTAATGATACAGGGTGTTTGGTTACAATAACATTTCAGGTTGTATTAGGAAATACAGTAAATTATAAATTAAATGTCAGAAAGCAAACCTAGAAGAACAAAACTACATAGGCATTTGTTAAGCTAAACATAAGCTGAACATATGACTTACATGTATATATTACTTGTATGTGTATGAATGTATAAACCACTTGACTTAAATATTAATGTAATTCATATGAAATCACAATACCTGGTTTGGATATATGTTTACTTATTAAGTGTATATTTATATTTCTTATATTTGCTACCTTTATATTCTACATTAATTGAAAAATATTACTACATATTATTAGAAGAGCAGCTAGATACATTTAAATTCTTACAGGAGAAGCAGTCTGGCGCAGTAAAAAGAACATTGGACTGAGTCTAAAAACTGAGTTTGAGTGACAACTATTATACCACCTGTATCACATTGAGCAAGTTACTTAACCATCTACCTAAGGTGATGAAGAAAGCTCTTTGCAAAATGTAAAATAAGTGTGAATTGCACTTAACTTATGTCAAAATATTTACAGGTGACTGACTAACTGCATATTTACAGAACCACTGAATCTTATAGACGAGACTCCCCTCTGTAACATCTCAGCCTTAGTTTGAACATGTCCAGTGGTAGGAACTCACTCTGAAGTCAATTCTCTTTCTTAACAGCACCAATTGTTCAAATTCTTCTCTATATTAAACCAAAACTTGCCTCCCAGTAAGCACTCTACCCCCACCTTTCCCTTTTGGTCTTAATTCTGTCCCTTAGAGCAACACAGAATATACTTAATCCCTCTTCCATCCAATAGCCCTTAAAATATTTGAAGACAAATATCATACTCTTCTGGCCTAAGAATCATAAATAGTGAAGGAGAGCCATAAAGGGAGCATTAATTTTCTTTCTGAAACAGAGCCCAACCAAAAATGTCATTCCTGAAGGGTAATTTTAGCTAATTTGTAACAAGAGATATCTAAACACTGCCTTTAAATTCCTTCCTGGTGATATATCTTCTCATATTCACAAATACATATATTTTAAATTGTAATTTAAATTTAAGCAATTTCCAAAGTAATCATTTCAAAATGTTTTCCAATAATGCAAAAAAAAAATTTTTATCGTTGTTGCTAGTTGAATTTTCTTTATAATTTAAACTTGTCCCCACCCCCTGTATTACGTTCCTGATTGCACAGGCTTGCCAAGTTAAATACTAGAGACTTTCAAACACATTTTGATTGAAGCACTTAAGTTTCCTGCAAACTGTACAAAATCAAGGATCCCATTATGAAGGTTGAATGCCTCAGTGGTTTTCACTTGATTAGAGTAAGTGTTGGACTGGCTCTGCTTTCAAGAACATTTCAATTGGTAAATGTACAAAAAAAAAAAAGGCAGCACAACAGCCCTTAACCCCTAAACCTCATACATCCCACCCTGACTGCAATAAAAATGACTTGAGTCCTCTGAAATCGTCTGAGCCTCCTGGAAGGAAATGACTGCACTGGAAAATCCTGCTCTTGAATGACAGGGATATGAAGAGATAATAGAGAAGTTCAAAACACTCAATTATGTTCAGGGATATATTGATAGGAAGGTGAGAAATTTTGCCAGTAGAGAAACTCTTTTGACATATTTCAAATCTCAAGAAAACTAATTAATTCTTACACTCTCCAGTCTTTCAGAGGACATTGTTTTATTTCTTATTTAAAAAAAAAACTATTGTGAATATATAATATGCTGGTTTTGCCAGAAAAGCTAAATTGATTTAATATACAACACATCACCTCACTTATCACAATGCTCCTACCCACAACACTCATATCCAATTTTATCTGAAAAACATGATATGAATATTATTAGCAGAAAAAAAATCTTTCCATCATCAGTCTATGAGTAACAATTACTTAGAACCCTCTGGCATGCAAAGTGCTGTGGTAGGCCCAATATAAATGCTATTAAGCTCAGAATCATATCCAATAGAACCAAGGGGTAACTGACAGAGAATATCTTCAAGGGATCTGAGATAACAGCCCAGGCCAGGAGCGAAGTGGGGTTCTGGCCACTGAAGCCTCAGAAAACAGTTAGCAAATGATGATAGCGCAGGGGTGACTCTGCACAGGCTATTGCAGGCATCAACTGAGGAGCCCTGAAGGTGCAACACAAGAGACATTTTCTCTAGAATTCTGCCTAAAGACACCTAAGGTTAACAAAGGCCATATATATGAAAAGACTTTGTGGTCTCTTGAGATTTTTACTAAAAAGAAAACACCCGTAACACCAGTGATGGGGGCCAATGAATTTACATAGTGATCATTAACAAAGATGGGAAAAGGAACTGAACCCCATAAAACATGATGCAGCATGGTGTACTAGATAGGGTGAGGAGGGAGGAAGGGAAAAAAAAAAGGAAATTTACTGATAACTCCATTGTATATTTGAAAGGAATAGCAAGTTGTACATAGTAGATTTGAAGTTTCATGTACAATCATCTTTTTTATTGTTCTATGTTTTGGAAATGTTTGTTTTATTCCATAAACTAAAAATAAAATTTTTAAAAATAATTTTTTAAAAACTAGAAAAGAAAACTGAGAATGTCAGGAAACCTGGATGCTAGTCTCAGCTTTGCCTCAGTTTCCTTATTTATAAAAGGGAATTAGAAAAGATGAATGCTAAGTTCCTTCTATTATAGATAATTCTATGACTTAGGGTTGTATCTATATAGCTATACATACATGGTACCCCAAAAATTTTGGTTCAGTTTTAAGCTATTAAACCTTAAAGCTGAACCAAGACAGTTATATGTATGTGTTATGTGTCCATACATGTAAGTGTACAAATATATAGACACACTTAGACACATACTTATAGGATGTCCCGTAAGTCTTAATGCACATATAAACAGTACTTTCCAAAAAGTGATGCATAGGAAAAAAATGCCCAGGGAAGAGAATGTGTTGATACATCTCAGAAAGAGGAGGCAGGCAGCCAGGTAAGTGTTGTTATATGTAGCCACAGAGGCAGACATGAGGAAACTAAAAGTTGTGTCCATTACTAAGAAATACATCTCAAAAGACAAGAAAACAAACTTTCAATTATTTCCTCCTAAAACATTACAAAGTCCTTGGGAGTTCCTGTGATATCGACAATAAAAGCTGTCAGGAAGAAACCATAGTTGGCTACAGGAATAAACTCTTAGCTATTACTTTAAATGCCATAATTGTCAGTTCATGCGAAAATTCTTAACTGCCTGTATAAACACATTATGCAAAATGGTATTGTTATGTAGGTCATCTGCACAGCTCCACCCCATTACTTGAAAAATATATGCAGAAGGACAACATGTAATTAGAAGGTCTGCACTCTCCCCATCCAGGAATCAAATTTCCACAAGCATCCAAAACAGAAGAACTAACGCAAGGCTATTTTTAAAGAAAATACCTGGTGCTTTTTCCACGAAAATTACTTTTGAGTCTTGCAGAAAGTTGTGACCAGACAATATCATTTTTTTCCCACCGATCACTGGATAGCTGTCTGTGCTTTGTTTCTCCACTAAAGGCAATTCTTGGGCAGATCTCTGGGCTAGAGGAGAAAATAACCACATATGGAACATAATTTGTTTTTAAATTATAAAAAAGAAGATCTTTGTAGATCTCTCAACACTTCTTTGCATTATACAACAAAGTATTTGATACAATCTTCCCGAGAATGCTGATGCTCCATAATGTAAGAGGAATTTGAGATCAGCATGATTTTCTAGTAAGTTATTTCTGTACAGGATGGTATAATCACTCTCAGTTTTCAGGTGGGGAACAGAAGACAAAGACACATCGGTGATGGAACCGGACTTGGAGCAGAAGTCCCGGCCTTCAGTATTCAAATTTCTGACAGACTCCTTGGCCTCTTAACACCCAGTCATTCAAATGAGTTATTTGGGTGAACCTCAAACATGATCCTCATGTATTTTAAAGAAGCACCACCAAAATTTTTACAGAGCAAATTTAAAACACTATAATTTCTCAACAATTCTCCATTCTAATATGGTTATAATTAATCTGTATACATAGCCAGACTGAGAGACAGCATTGTATTCTGAATAGAGAACAGGCCTTAGAGTCTAGGAGACCTGCACTCAAGAGCCACCTCTGAAATATAATATCTATGTGACCCTGAGCAAGTCACTTAACTTCTCAGTGACCTAGATAACTCTCAGATTAAATTGAAGAGTAGCTACTGATCTACAATGATAGAGGGATTTTCCTTAGGAGTCTGTCACACGAATGAAATCACTAGTCCAGAACAAAATTTTAAAAAATCATCCAAACTTTGAAAATAAGGTCTTTTCATTGTATCTCCTCTATTGTCCAACTAAAAATTCATAATATATTGTGATTTAGTTTATTTGTGAGGGAAAACCCAATCCCCTTGTCCAGTAGAATCTCAAAATAGCAGAGATACAATATAGTCAAATAGTGTATAGAATGTAAGCTTCTGGAAGGCAGAAGCTGATTCTTTTTTTTCTTTACTTCTCTAGTACCTAGCTCAGAGTAGGCACTTAGTTGATTGATTGATTTGTATGCCCTGTACCTACACAGCAGCCCTGATTTAAGAGTAGGTGCTTAACCAATACTTGTAGATTGACTGGATCACCCTTGCTATGGCATAAACCTTTTCCTATTTCTAGAATCCAAAGAGAACTGAACTCTTTGAGAATTCTGGTAAGACTTTTGTAACTGTCACCTTGCCCCTCATTTGTGGTATGATGGAGATATTCTATCAACCAGATCCTGTACAACATTAGAAGCTTGCCCGAGGCCTAGAATGATGGAGGCCCAGAAATCTAGGGCTCTGGGTGGTTTGACCCTGTCCCTAAGATAATGCCTTTCGGTACTAAGTAAGGCAGCTATATGGTCACAATGAATAGAATGCTGGGCCAGAAGTCAGAAGACCTGAGTTCAAATCCAGCCTCAGACACTAGCTTTGCTACTCTGAGCAAATCACTTAGTTGCCAGTTACCTCAGTTTCCTCAACTGTAAAATAGGATACCTACCTCACAGGATTGTTTTGAGGCTCAAATGCTAATTAGCAATCAATGATTGTCCTAAACATTTATTTTGTATTCCAGTATTTGGTGCTGGGGGTGGGGTAGGGTTTACATTCTAGTTCCAGCATACCAGACCTACAAACAGGAAACTGAGCCAACAATTCAAGATAGTATGCAATTAAGTCCTAAATCATGTGGGTTTAGATATCTGGGGAAGGTAGGACTTAAACAAGGCCTTGAGAGAAAGGAATCAATTAAGGTTTTTGACTCAGCTAGGTCATGAAAAAGGCAGCATTTGGGGAAGATTCATCCAGAAGGCTTATAAAGGATGCACTGGAGGAAAAAAACTGGAATCTGAGAGGTATGAGGTAATGAGCACTTGGATCTAGGAGGTGTCAATGGGAATGGAACGAATAAATGAAGAATGAATGGGAAAGCATTTGCTAAGCCCTTACCACGTGCAAAGCCCTGTGCTAAGTACTGAGGATACAAGTTGAAAACCCAGAAAGCCTGTTCTCCCAAGGAACTCACATTCTAATGGGAGAAAGAACACAAACAGGAGGTTTCAGCTGGAGGAGAAGGGATAGATACACATTGAAAAGACATGCACTGAAGGAAAATTCAACAGGATTTGGTTAGTAGTTTAATATGGGGGGCAAAAGGAAGGAATAAGTCAAAGATAACTCTAAAGTTTTGAGCCTATTTCTGGGGAAATGATAGTGTCACTAGGAGAGAAATTAGATGAACTCAGGAAGGGAAGATGAAAGTTGTTTGGAGTGAAGAGTATATGATGAATTCAGCTTTGGACATGTTAAGCTTGGGGTGATGACTGGAATCACTTAGATGTTCAATAGACCATTAGAGAGCCAAGCTAGAGCCTGGAAAAGAGGCTAGCTTTGGAGATGACTATCTAAGAGTCACAAGCACAGAGGTAACAGCTGAAACCATGAGACCAGCTGAGCTCTAAGGGAGATAAGTATAAATAGGGAAGAGCAGAAGGCTAAGGACTGAACCTTGGCACTTGTCCATAGTTAGGAAGCAAGAGGTAGAAAGGTCAAAGGGGATAAAGGAATAGTTATGAGGTTGGCTCTCTGTTTGTCTGTTCCAGAAGCATGGCACTGTCATGAGGTGTAGGGAAGGATCTCTTAAAAAGTCAGTCAGTTTGGCCAGATTTTTTCTCTAACCTGCTCTGGGGACTCTGATACTCATTTCCCTTACTCTCTGCTCCTCAATCACCATGAAGAGGAAGAGGAGTAAAAGACACGTAGGGCAACATGAAGAAGAGGTGTCCCTCAGTTCAGAGTCTCCAGTAATTTATTAAAGGTCATGCATGAAATGAGTGAAGCTATAATAAATAGAAGCCAAGATCTTGTTCCCTAACTGACCCTTGTTTATAAATGACAGGGGGCAGGGGAAAAAGGAAGACAATTTGATGGGAACCCTGAAACTAAATGAAGTAGCATGTTCAGACTGTTTAACAGATTCACTCAAACTGAAGCTGAGAGGTGATGTAACTTGCCTCAGGTCACACAACTAAGTGGCAGAGGTGGGAATGTATGACCAAGTTACATCAACTTTCTGGGTTTCATTTTTCTTCTCCATAAAATGAGGGGCTTGGACAAAAGGACGCAGTCCCAAAACTCTTTAGTTTAAAAAAAAAGGAATCATCAATGACCTAATACAATGAATAGGACTATAAATTATATTTACTCCATACAAGAAATTTCAAAGCTACTAATCCCATTTTCTACAAATTCTCTGAAATTACAGATTATTCTAGGTGATAGATTTAAGATAGCTCAAAGGTCAACATCAAAATTATTTTCTTTTCAGTTCCTCATGTAGATTGCAGGTTGTCTTGGGTTCTGAATACTCTGTTCATTATCAAATAGCCTCTAAATAATAGTGATGATGATGATGATGATGATGAAGATGATGATGATGATGGCTAGTATTTATGTTTGCAGACCACTTTACAAATATTATCTCATTTGATCCTCACAATAACTCCAAGAGGCAGGTGCTATATTTAAGGGACCAGCACTCTATCTACTGAACCACCTATATAAATATAGAACTTATTTGAGTCTATATTTAAAGGAAGCATCAATTTTTCTCATCCCATGACTAAATATTTTTGTTACAATCAAAACTGAGGTGATTAAGTATTATTTTTTAACAGAATAATGGACAACACTTTTCAGTGACTCTGAACCATGAAATATATATTTTTGAAGAAACAAGTCAGGGAGAATAATAGCTAACATTTATATAATATTCACTGTGTACCAGGCACTGTGCTAAGTGCTTTAAAATTATTATCTCATTTGATACACACAGCAACCCTGGCAGATAAGTGATATCCCCATTTTATAGATGAGGAAAATGAGACAAATGGAGGTTTAAGTGACTTGCCCAGGGCCACACAGCAAGTAAGTATACAAGATCAAATTTTGCACTCGGGTCTTCCTGACTCCAGAATTGGTACTTTATGCATTGCACCACCTAGCTACTCTACAAATGTAATGAAAGAATGATATTAGACAAAAAAAGAAAAATTGCTATCATGAACTATTCCAGTGATTCCATATCTCTGTGCTTCTGTTTCCTCATCTAGTCAGTGTTGGAAAAAAAATTATCTCTAAAGTCTTTTCCTACTAAATTCTAAAATCTATATAGTCCTTAGAAAGAAGGGGGGAAAGTGAATAATTACTTACAACACTCAATGGGATTTGATGCTACTTGTAGAGATAGAGTTCTGCCATTAGATTGTGGAATATGAACCCGGAAAACCAGTCTCACTCGAGTATTCTTTCTTCCAATGTCAGTTTCACCTTTCCGCAGTTCAATGTCTGAGTTTCTGAGTTTTAGGATTCCAGCACAATCAATACTGCTCAAAACAAAACAAAAGGCCGTTTAATACTTTTTCCAGTTTCTGACATAATAGAGTTGAAAATTTCTATACTCTCATCCTACAGAACTGCACTCTGATGTTACCATAATGTTACCATAATTGTACTGGGAGCTGCGCATACTCATATCGCTACCATAGATATTATGGTATTACGGTGATATGAGTATGCACTATTCCCAGTGCCTATTTTTATGTTACCTATTTTTACCAATTTTTATGTTGCCTATTTTTATGTTCTGTGGCAAAGGAAAAAGGTATATTTTAAGGTAAAGACATTTCAGAACAGTCACTGAGGGCATCACAGAGATTGTACGTACACATGCCACATCAATCACATAACCGAAGTAATTTCGTAGATAATTAAATCCCCAAATAACTTTGGCTCACTTATCTACATCTGTCAAGCAAAATAATTTTATTTGATTTTTTTAGGCAAAATAATTTAAACACATAGTGAGTCAATAAGCATTTTTAAGCACCTACTATGTGCCAGGCACCGTGCTAAGCACTGGAATAATAAAGATAATCATAAAACTAATTGTCTTGATTCTCCCCATCATTTGGTATGAATAAACAGTTAAATTGTTAACTATGTAACTATGGTAGGGGGAAAAAACAGTGGAAAGTACAGCTGGCAATACCAGGTAGAAAAAAAAAAGAATTAAAATCATACTTCACTATCTCATGATACACATGCTCTGGTGATTCCTACAGCAGCTAATGCAGCACTGTTCAATCTCTCATTTTCCTGATTTACAGCTTATATTGTTACAATTCAAATAAGCTTCAATGCAGATTCCACAGAGTGTTGACCCATAATAATCCACAATATTTTTTCTTTCTTCATAGTATTTATCAGAGATAAGAGTAAAAAGTCTGACAGTTATTTTAACACTTAGTGCTTAGCTAAGACTTTGGAAAACGAAAATTTACAATGGGGTCCTCTGAAGTTTTAAGAACCTAAGTGGAAACTGCCATTCATCTGGGCTTCAGTTGAATAGGTACCTCTGAATGTTTCTAATCCAGCATTTCCTCATCTGAAAATCTTGAAGTGCTCTGAGGCAATGTGATAAATAAACTAGTTTTTTTTTATAAGTACTACAACTATACTCATTTAAAGCATATGAAAGTCATCAGAATCCATTTGATTTCATCTCAGATCTTGGGATCCTGATTAGAAACCAAGTCAAAGATTTGGAAGATACTTGAAATTTCCCCAAGTTGAAGGAAACTTTGTATCCATTTTACACGTAGATTTTTATAGTTATAAATTCCTTGTAAATATAACAGATAATTTTACTGTAATTCTGATAAGCAGAGGTACAATTCATACCCCAAACATGATTAGGAACCATTTGGACAATGCATGGTTTGTTCTTTTACTACCAACAGAGTAAGTTTGAGAGTGTGACTGGCAAAAGAATCATTTTTCCACAACTTAAGATAGGATGTGAAAATATTCTCTTGATAATAGTGTTTTTTAAATTTTTATATTCATAGCAGATAAAAGTATACTTTTTCCACTTTATTTTTTCATGGTTTTTGCTTTCTGTCTTCTTTCACAACATGACTAATATGGAAATATGTTTTGCATGATTGCACATGTATAACCTATATCAAATTGCTTACCCTCTCAGGATGAGGGGATAAGGGAGAAGGAGGGAGAGATTTAGAACTAAAAAAAAATTTAAATGAATGTTAAAATTACATACAATTGGGAAAAATAAATATTATTAAAGTAAAAAAATTATATTCAGGTGACTTCTCTAACTTTACTGCTTCGCAATCAAGAGCAACTAGGTGTCATGTTTAGTAGCTGCTAAATAAATAGAAGAACTGGGTGGGAGATATTTACAGCACTGTAATTGAGATATTTATTTTAAGTGCCATTAAAGCACAGTGGCTGAAACCCTAGAAAGAAGCAAATCAGTTGTCATAAATATCTGTGAGGTTCATTTAGGTGTTAAGCTAAGGACACTCTGGGCCACTGGAATTTGGTAAATTTGTTAAAGGCTGAAATGATTTAGAGGATTCAGTGAGAAAGTCAGAAAAAAAAAGAGGCAGCACACAAACACACAACTCTGCTGAAATCACCAAGTGGCCTAGTCCACAAGGCTTACATTGCTCTCATGTTATTTTCTGGTAGAAGTGGAATTTCCAGGACTTTGGTGTTGGAGAGGATTGCTTCGTGGCTGGTGGTGGAGACTGTTTTCCCTGTTATCCGGTGGACCTGGTAGAAAGCATGTGGTCTCAGCAGGCGGTCGTCTGCCGTCCCGATGAACAGCTGGAGCGTGAGCGGCTCACTTTCTAAGTAACCATGTAGCTGGCAAAAGAACAGAAAACTCCCACTAAGCACCACGCACATAAACTGCTAGGAATCAATTAAATTTTTATAAGCAAGAGACTCTAATTCTAGGAGAAAACTAGTGACAGGTGCTAAGTGTTAAGTCCCCTCCCACCTCCCACCCCTTTTTTTCTCTGTAATGTAATAGTGGTACAATTTTTTAAAAAGTGCATTTAGAAAATGTCTCATTATTCTAAAAGACCTGGGGCACTTAGCTAGATTTAAGCTTTGAACAGTCCTACTGTCTGCTTAAACAGAACACACACACACACACACACACATACACACACGTATATACGTGTACAATCACATACCTACTACTGCCACCTTAAAAAAAAAAAACAACCTACCATTTCAAAATGACATATTCTAGCAAGGTAAAGTAAGAATTAAGTGGATTTTTCTTTACACAGCCCTGATTTAAGCCACCCCATCTCCTGACATGGAGCTGACTTCATCTTCTCCGATGCCTACATGTTTCCCAAGGTCATCCTTTTCATCATGAGCATCATCAAAAATGCTCCATGAGAAACTAGACTCCTGAATTCTTTCATTTTAGGCAAGTATATGCTAGTAAGTATGATGTAGGACTAAGCCGCACACATTAGCTGACTTTGTCCTATGGAAATTAGCCTGTTATGCCAGGGCTCCATTGTTTGTACTAATTTACTTTCTCTAAATCAATATCAGTAGATGTATTCATGGTACTAAGAAATGTGTTTTCTTGTTTAATGAACACAAAACTAGACAAGGCACAAAATCGCTCATGAAGTTTGATAAACAAAGTTCAAACCAGCAAAATAACCCAGATTAGTTCAAGATTGGCACTTCTTTTGCCCAGCCTGATAGATCTTTCCCCTTTCAAACTAAGTGCTTGAGAAACACAGCCCTGGCCACAGTGATGTTCCCAGCATACAAGAACAATCAATTTGGCCTTCAGATTGGGTGGGGGGGGGAACATTCCACTAATTGGTTAAGTCTGCTTAAGCGTCTGGCCACCAGTTGGCAGACACTACACATGGAAAACTATATACTGACATTTCTCAAGAAAATGCCAGTTTAGACTAAGCCTGTTTTCCCCCCAGAAAGGAATAGGGTAAGTTAGGCACAACATTTTTCATATCTGAGATTTCATTAAAAGACACTGAAAAATTCTGGTATTTTGATGAGGCTATTTGGTTGTCAGAATCCATTCTTTCTTCTCTGAAGACACATCTCCTAGGGCAGTGGGATGGCACATAATGATGTTTAGTTCTTCCCAAGGAACCATTTTTGAGCTATCACTGGAGCTCACACACCTTAACCATTTTAAGGCAATATACAATTGGTCTGATGGAATCTGCTATAAGTACTAACTGCTTTGTCTTCACTTGTCCCACACCCTAAATCTGACTTCCCCTTAAAGAATATTTTAAACAATTTTAAGCCATCATTTTATGTATATTTTTACCACTAACAATAGCATTTTCAGTTGATAATACAATTCCCATTTTCAAAAGAGATGCACTAGAAGTGGAAGTTAACTTCAGGGCTTAGTAGCACATAGTAAGCACTTAATAAATGCTTGTTGATGACTAATAATAGTGTTTTCTTTTTTTCGTGAAGTACTCCACAATCAATCAGATGTATTACATTGGCTTATTAATTTTTTTCTAAACCACCTTTTCTCAAGAGCATCTGACATAGACTTGTTATACCAACTGTGACTGATGATAACCACTCTGCTCTCATTCAATTTAATAAAAGTCATAGGCAAGTGCTATGCTATGGCAGAAAAAAAAAAACTTCATTTTTTAAGGAGCACTCTTTGAAGACCCAGATTGTGAAGAATCATGAAGATGAGGTAAAGGCATAAGAAAAAAAGATGGGATGAAGTGATTTAAAAAAAGGTAAGTTCATCAAACATTAAATGTGTATTCCATACTTCTAACCCCAATATTTTTCTTAATTTGTTTGAGTGTGAATAAAGGCAGTTAATCATAATATATAGAAGCAAACTACATAAAACACACAATGACAAAATTTAGTTAAGGGGTTAGGAAGTGATCGATCCCCTATGATAACAGCTAAATTCTTCCAATCCAATCTTACTTCAGCTCCCAAGAGACAAACACTTAGTCAAGTCAGTCAGTGAGTAAATAAACATTTGTTAAGTACCTCCTATTATGTCATGAACTTTGATAAACATTGTTAAGTCAGGGGTGTGATAAAGTCAACTCAAAGGGGGTTCACCCAATCATTAAATTTTCAGTACTACTATTTATACCTGGGAAATTGGCAAATGCTACAAATCTGGGATTGATTTATTGTTTTGCTGATTGTTTTGGTTTATGAAAGTGATACCAAAATGTTAATAATGCAAAATAAATTTAAAAGTGTGTCATGGGTACTTTTTTTTTCAGATAGCTGGTTGTTAAACATTTACCAGCACATTCAATTGTGTAGACCAGCCAACAAAAAGCTGTATGGGGTTGTACAAAGGTTTGGTCTTCTGGGAGGTTCTGAAGTTGACCTTGGACAGCAGTCTAATGGGAAGGAGGGAGAGAAAGAGACAGAGAGAGAGAGGGAGAGAGAAAGAAACAGAGAGATGAAGACAGAGACATACAGCGACAGACAGACGGACAGGAAGGAAGGGAGGGAGAGAGAGAGAGAGAGAGAGAGAGAGAGAGAGAGAGAGAGAGAGAGAGAGAGAGAGAGAGAGAGAGAGAGGGAGAGAGAGAGAGAGAGTAAGAGAAGAGAGTGAGAGAGAGGGTGAGAGAGAGGGTGAGAGAGAGGGTGAGAGAGAGATCTGGGGCTAACATCACTCAGTGAATCACATTCTAAGCCCCTATGAGTACAAAGGAGAAGTGGAGAAGACTGGGCTGGGGGAAATTGAGGTAAGCATTTCTAGAGTCACCTGAAGAAGAAGAAATGTATAATGGGTGAAAAAGAAGCTCCTCCAAAGTCCCTCTGAAGACTCTTGGAGCGATTAACTCAGAGAGGCCCAAGTAACTTGGACACCCTATTTATTCAGCTGGACACTTCTTTTGCTTTCTACTAAATATTATCCTCAGCTGCCTGAAATTCCTACAATTTGAAATTCATGATGGCTGACAAGGCCCTCTTTTAAAATGCAACTACCCTTGGAGAATTAGCAATATTGATTAATCCAATTGCTTTTCTTCCAGAAGAATGCCAATTTGGGTGGCTGGGCTGGGAAATGGGAGACATAATTTGGGGCATGGAGGAACGGTGAACTGATTTGAGAGAGGAACTGATGACTTTGGTTTGAAACATATTGAGGGTAGTAGAAATGTGAACCTTCAACTGGACATATCAGAATAGAGTTCAGGTAAGGGGACATGACTGAGGATGTAGAATTGAAATGATCATAAAAAGAGAGAGAATTAATGAGCTTTATAAAAGCAAGAGAGAAAGCAAGAGCAAATGTGAACGTCAACAAAACTTAAAAACTGGCAAGTAAGGTCTTCTGCACATATTTTAATATTTTAGGACAATACATATGGTTTCAAACATATTTTGATACACTTAGAGTGTTTTTATTTTTATTTCTAACATGTCAATATATTTGAAAAACAGCTTGCAAGTCTGTATGATGAGCTGGAGAGTCTGACTTTGCAATTAGCTGCTTCTGGATTTTGATGAGAAGAGGATATTGATTTTTTTTTTTAAAGTTACAAGGCTGGCCCCTCACATGTTCTTACATGCAGAAATCTGTGGCCTATAAGCCATTTGGTTTGATGCAAGCAGAGTGGCTCATTATGAGAGCAGTTGAAAGCATCATGATTTTCATTAATTCTTCTGAACCCCCAGTACATGGCACCCAGCCAACATTAATACTGTTATAAGATAAAAGGAACCCTAAGTCTGTGTGCTCACTTCAAACAGGTACCATAGTCTGTATCCTTCAGTTCAATTATCAACTCCAAAGGCCACAAGCAGCAGGAAAAAAAATTGTGTTCTATATTGAATCAGAGGCCAGTATTAGTTTAGACACTCTAATTTGCTGCCTCAATAAACCTAAAGAGACTATGTTTCCAAGACTTTGGGTGGGATATTTATACAAAGAATATGTTTTCTTACAGACTTTCTGTGTTAAAATGGAGAGAATCAGGCTTTTCATTTATGATAATGAGTTCATGCATCTTACTTGGGCAATATTTTAAAGAAGGAAAAAATGGTTTGGTGACAGCATTATCTACTTTGGGTTGTAAAACTGGGAAATTGTCAGTGATCCATGGAACCTAGAATGTGTAGTTAGGATAATTTGGAAAATAATCAATCCTCCACTTCACATACTTCACTAGAACAGATTCGGGTCAAAGGTTCCAATATCTTTCCCTGTCTATCTTTTCTTACTATTTCTTCCAGCATATTATGAGATTCTTCAGACAGTGTCTGTCTGTCTCTCTCTCCCCAAATCCAAAATGCTCTGTTTGTCATTCAAAGCTCCCTAGTAATATAGCCCCCTCCTACCTTTTCAGTCTTCTTACACCTTACTCCTTGCCATGTACTCTTCAATCCAGTGACACTGGCCTCTTTGCTGGGCATTTTCTCTGACTCTCCCCCTAGCCTAGAATGCTCTTTCTCAATTCTGCCTACTGGCTTCCTTGTCTTTTAAGTCCCAACTAAAAACTCATCTTTTACAGCAAGCATTTCTCAACTTCTCTTAATTCTAGTGCCTTCCCGTGGTTACTAATTTTCTATTTATCCTATTTATAGCTTACTTGGTATATTTGTTTGCATGTTGTCTTCCCCATTAAATTGTGAGCTCCTTAAGGGCAGGCACTGTCTTTTGCCTTTCTTTGTATCACCAATGTTTAGCACAGTGCTCAGCCTGGCAAATAATAGGAGCTTATAATATTGCTTTATATATATAATAATTGTAATTTCTACAGTTAATTCTTTACAAAGCTAAAAAAAACCCCACCACTCTCAGTGATACTTTTCAGTGTTGCATACAATTATTTGACTGTTAA